GGGGGGGGGGCGGCGGGGGGGGGGAACGGTCGATACATATGTACACGGAACACACACACACCGGTTACAGCCGTAAATGCAAATAAAAAAAGCACACACACACATGTACAGTAATCGTGACTTCATTGGTTTACATTGGTCAGCCCATGGCAACGAACAGGACACAAAACACACACACGCACAGCGTGTGTTTGCCATTCGTTCAAAATCCCGCTTGTTGTCACTTGTCCAGAAGAGGGTTCTCGCGGTCGATGCAAACTAAAGCAACATACGCAATAAAATACACACACACAACATCTTCAAGGGAAAAAATACATGCCCGTGGGAACGCAGCCAGAAGGCAACAACAGTCTCGCCGATTGGTTTTCCAGCTCTTAGATTCACCCAGGGTCAGTCAGGTTCATGCACAGAGGCGAGAGAGTCGGTAAACCATCTGCGACACGGTAAACCATCAAAACCGGTATCGGCGCTGGCACGAAAAGAGTGGCCACGAAGAGGCCAAGACAGACCAAAGGGTACCGCAAGCAATGCCGGCAAAGGTCACAACGGAAACGTATAGCAGTGTGAAAAACAACCAACGCCACCAGCACCAGCAGAACCCCTGTCCAGAGACATAATTGTGGAGACAAGCAGTCCAGGTTCAACGGGAACATGAAGACAGGTTGGTATACGTAGCCCGATGCGTTGTGGACACATCACTGTTCGTCATCGTTGGTGCACGACGACGCGCGTTCAAAGCACAACCAAGAAATCCGGGCCCGACAAATTATTCCACCTACACTTCAGATGCTGGCTGCCCCGCGGTGCTGCTTTGCTCCCCGACCACGGCGAACCAGAATTTCATCTACAGTGGGGGTATCGGTTCAGCGACATGCCCTGTTCAGCGACCACGAAATCACGTGGCACCGGCGCACTCCGGCAGCACAACCGCCATGTGTTGTTAGTTCGGATTTAGCGACCTGCCCTGAACGGGGGCCACATTTCGTCGTGACTCCAGGGGTCGCTAAACGGGGGGGGGGCTCGCTGTACCTGCCGAGCCTTGTTGGAGAGCCGCAGCGACTTCGAGTAGGTGGCCGCGTTGAGCATAGTCCTCGCGTCCATGCCCATAACGTACAGGTGCAAGAAGTAGTGGTTCGTTAGGAGGCCGTTCCCGCAGAAGCCCACGAGAAACCTGGTTGAAAGTTTTTGTTAGCGCGCCCCCCCCCCCAAACACCCAACCAGCGGCGGCAGCAGCAACACCGTACCCACCAGCGAGATCGGTCACGGAGCCGGCGGCAGCGGCGGAGGCGGATTTCATGTCAGCGCAGGGTATTTGTGCTTGTACTCGAGTCAGTGCTGCGGTGGAGCATCTTCGTCAGACACCAAGGCCGACATGCGAGAGAGGTCCGCTGTATTTCATGTCTCAGCGCAGCACAGTTGTAGTGAGGACTGCCTGCGCGAAGAATGTAACGTTCTCACGAACAAGGCCAGCGAGGGGGCACGCAGACCCTAACCCTAACCCCAACCCCACCTTAGCCGATTCTGTACTCTATCCATATGTTTGCATACTTTGAAACCCCTGCGTGGTACAACTGGACACAAGAATGTTTACATCGAAGCGATGTCCGCCGCACACACAATCTAGAGCGGGGGCAGGAGAGAGAGCCCAGCAGCACCCAGGGCACTAGTGGAGGCGATAATGCGGGTGGCGTGGCGGGAGGAACGATTTGGGCGAGACAGCATAAAGCCAAACACGATCGAAACCCGCGATGGTCATCCTTGGATCGCCCACGACAACAAGAGAAAAAATATGAAAAAAAAACAGCGCGGCTTGCCTACCTAACAAGAGTGAATCGTATTGGACGCAAACGCGACAACATGGTACCCATCAACCGCGAGTGCGCATACGAAAATGGATCTGTTCAACTGCCATTCTTTCCCCTCATGCAAAAAAAAACAAACAGAAGAACCGCCTGCGACACTTGCACCGTGCAAAGCAAGCTGGGAAACTCGTTGGCGAGCTCAATACAAGCCCAGTTTCCAGTCGGTTTTCCTTTCACTCACTGGAAAAAATTCAGCACACCCCTTTCGACTGATGTGATTTATCTCGAACGGGCAGTCTTTCAATGAGATTCCGTTGACGTTCATAAACAAAAAAAAAAACAACCAATTATGCATGAAAACAATCTGCGACAAACAAACAAAAGTCGAGACACCAACTCACAGAGTGATCGCCCAGACGACCCCGATGTACGTGTCGCTGCTGTCCTCGTCTATGAGCCACTGCAGAAGTTGCTGCACGATGAGAGGCACCGCCAGCAGCACCATCTGTTGCGCCATTGCTAGGAAGGCCGTCGCGATCAGGGAGGCCTTGAACACCTTCGCCATCGCCTTGGCCAGGCTTTCGGGATAGACGTGGGAGGGCAAGGGAAGGGCGAGGTCAGATTGGGAGCGGACGAGGAGTGCCCGGGGTTCAAACAATGGCAGAGTGAGGCTAATGCTGTGGTCGCGACAGGTGGGGGTAATAAGACAAGGCGTGTACTTTTACCCCGGTCTGCAAGACCAAAACTACCATAGGAGCATAATAAACAGAGGTCGACACCAACCATTCCCGCCCCACATAACTCAAACCAAAACAACAAGCCGTGCACGTCCGGGGGGGTGGTTCATTCAGTCCTTCCTCTCCTCATGTCGCCGCCGTCTGCCACAAAACCCCCCTGCTTCAAGGTTTCGTTGCTGGATTCGATTCGACGACTCCATTTTCATCACAACCATCATCCCGCACCTCCTCTCCCCCTTGGGCTTCGCCAGCTGCTGCCCCCAGGCATCCCGGAAACGGTCGAGCAGCCCCGCTGTCTCGGACGACGCGGGCAGCGGGAACAGGTGCTCCGGCTCCAACGGGCGAGCGTAGGCCAGGTTCACCAGCGGGGTGATCCAAGCAAAAAACAGTCGCGAACACGGGGACGCCTTCATGCTGCCTCCTGCCAAGGTTCCCTGTTATTTTGTGGTGGTGGTAGTGGAGAGGGGAAGAGGCGGCGCGCACCAGCGAGGGCATTGGAGGAATGAGTGTCTTCCGGTGCTGCGCGTTGCGTTGAGGTCTGTACCGTAGGTCTATTATATGAGTAGGTACCGTAGGTCCCACCGGGCGAACACGTGATGGGCAGAGAGAAAGAGAGAGAGAGAGAGAGAGAGAGAGAGAGAGAGAGAGAGAGAGAGAGAGAGAAAGAGAGAGAGAGAGAGGGAGAAAGAGAGAGGGAGGGAGGGGGGAGAGGGGATGGAGTGACAAGAGAGCCACAACAAACTCAGGGAAGGAACGCACACATTCTACAAGTGCTCCGATCCCCGCTATTTCGGAGAGCCACGTGGCCAGTGCACATTGCTTGTGAGGACGCACTTTCAAACAGTCGGAAGATAACTGGCGGGCGTTGCGTGGAAGGCGCATATGCTTTCGCACGATTTCCCCGCGCCCCGTGCTCCCTCATCACGATCACCCGGCACGACTTTGATTGCAGGAGGTACCACAGGAGTGATTCTTGTTCGCTGCCTTTCAGGGCTTTTCTTCGAGACTCTTTCCGGAGGTCGTTACTTCTTGACGAGTGGTGTGGCTCTGTTTCTGGCTTTGTCTATTTCGATCGGCATGCACCATCTTTTGGGTTTCAATACTTGAACCAATAAGGGGGAAAAATCTACGCGGTGTCTGGTCGCACGTACATCGAGGTTACGGTTGGCGTTGTAGGGTCAGTTCCAAGAGGGAGGCGGACGGACCACCTTTCCTACAATTGCTCGCTCTCCCTGAACAAAACGCAGTGCTGCGGGAGTGAAGGTCGACGTCGGGAGGCCGGCCTCGACTATCGTCCTCGGCCGATAATGGTTTGGGAAAAGGGACAAATCCTCGCAAGCACAAAGCACGTTACGCTAAATTGTCTTAACAAAAACGAGGCATGGGTCAAGAAACGAAACGACCGCACGCTTGTGTGTCTTATTGGTTAGCACCGACCGCGCTTACCGTCTGACCAACCAAAAGACGTTGCGTCTTGTAGCGGGATAAACAACCGCAAACACGTTTTTGTGTGCGGGTGTGTGTGTCTCTACTAGTTAGCATCGACCCGCGCTTACCGGCTGACCAATGAAAAGCCGTCAGTGCCGGCGGGTCAAAGATCAAGGTCCCTGGAACTTGATAAAAATCATGCACCTGTATGTTCAGGTCGTGCCGGCACTCATGCCGCGCTGGATAAACATGGCCGACTACTGGCTTTGGCCACGGCCCGCCGTCTCCTCTCACATTGTTGGCCTGCAATCGCTTGTCCCACGCCTCCCGTCTCTTCTGAGCCTTGGTTTTGGTCCCCTTCGAGGCCATCCTCCTTACGCGGCGGAATACCCTCTCGCTCCCTCCTGGCCGAAGAGAGATGTACTTGTCTTCTTACGAGTAAGGGGAGCAGGTTGGCGGGCACCTGGCCAAGATAAACCGAAGTGGGGCGGCGGCCAAAAACAACGGACAGAGTCGATGGACTGCAAGTGTCCAACTACGGATCGGGCACACGCACGGCATCCACGAAACATGACCGTCGAAGAACGCACACGAATGTATACAGCAGTAGACCAAAAGC